GAACCCCTTTTCTAATGCTATCAGCTCAAGCTTGTATGCTCCACTTCACTGTAAGCTGCCCTAATTCTATTTTAATTTCTAATGAACACCCTAATTCTATTTAACCAGTTAACTTAATGAGCTCTTACAAAAGGATATTTACTTTAATGGTAAGGCAAAAACAGATGTCTAAACATTAGCCCCCAGCATGTGGGGGGCAAACTCTCCCATACACTATCTTGGCTCCTGGGGAGAGAGGGCTCAGATAATGCAGTTTCAACGTAGCATTTACCCCCACTGAATTCCCTTCCAAATGTGTCCTGGCCAATGGATGGATGAATCTGTACCTCTTCCCTTGCTGGACTGGGCTAGGCAGATCACCTGGAACCATCACTCCTTACTGTCTGGCAACCAGCAAATCCTAGCACAGACTCAATCTTCCTCACTTCTGGGGTCTCACCCTTTTCAAAGCTCATCAGGTCCTAGCTGTCTCCATCCTCCTTCACCTACAAGCAGTGACCAACACGAGGAGGAGGCAAAGAACCAAGGCCTATATTCCCAGGCCATTACATTGGCCTCGGAGGAGGATGGCTCTGAGACCTGTCCCTTTATAGTACTTCCCCTCTCACGGGAATGCAGCCAGGCAGTAAAGGGCAGCTAGGTGGCCCAGCAGATAGAACCCTGGGCCTGGAGTCAGGAAGTTGCATCTTCATGAGTTCAAATCTGGGCTCAGATACTTACTAGCTGTGTGACCCTAGGCAAGTCACTTCCTCACCTGTAAAATGAGCTGGAGAGGAAATGGCAAACCACTCCAGTATCTCTGCCAAGAAAACCCCAAATGGGGTCACAAGGAGTCAGACACGATTGAACAAGAAGAAAAAGAAGCAAAGAGCTCAGTCAGGATCCAGGTCCTGGGTGGCTAATGGCCTTTGAATGCACCTCAGCCAATCGTAGTCTGTCTTGTCATCACCTGGTCCTTGCCTACAAACATATACATGTACCCCAAATGAGGCAGCAGGATCCTTCTATGATATGTCATTTTCTCTTTCCTAAAGCAGGCTCTCCAGCCTCTTCCATGTGGAAAATTGCCTCACCACCCTGCTCCTCCCCACGTCCCACCCCCCATTATATGTGCTTTACATTTCCCTTGTCTATGGACTTGCTGCCTGCTCCCAATAGAATTTCCATTTCTTTCAGGGAAGGTTTATTTTTGACCAGTAACCCCAGCACCCACCAGTCAAAAAGGAAAGAAACAAACATGCAAAAACAAAAACAAACAAACAAACAAACACGTAAAAGGCTTGTTGAATTGATATGAACAGAGCCACTCTGTGAGATAGGTGAGGAAGTATCCCCAGTTTACTAATGTGAAAGCAGGCCCAGAGTAGTTAAGCCACTTGTTCAACATCACACATCTAGTAAGGGAGAGAGCTGAGACTGGTCGACAGACCTCCGAGTTTCTGTTCTTTAATACTGTGTTCTCTAAATGTGAGTCTTCCTGGAGTAGACACCAGGAGCTACATCTCTATGGGAGAGGATGGTCTTGCTCTGTAGGTCTACATGAACCTGGCCTTGTCACTTTTCAAGTATCAGAGCAACATGGTTCTTTGTCAAACAAAAGAAAACAGTTCATTTCAAAGAAAAATAGCAAGATATCTTCAGCCCAGGTTGGTCAGGGGCCATTTCTTACTAAGGCAACCTCATATAAGCTGGGAGTAATGTGTCTCCGGGGAGGAATTTCTCTTGTCCTGTACTATCCCTGTTCTCATTTTTCTGCTAGCAAGGTTGAGTGTGGTTCTACCACAGCTGAAAACAAGAAATGAGCCAATTTCCCAGGTTTCCACATGGTTTATTTAAGAGATAATGTCAGCGGAATAGAAGGTAGTCAGAACCAGAGTGCCACGTGATGAACGCTGAGCCTGGAAGACGTTTATTCCAGAGCGGAAGGCATTCATCATGTAACCTCCTTCGCTTTGCCTCTTCCATGAAATGATCAATGAGGCACATGTTGCGTTTCTTCCTGATAGTTGTTGATGAAGTAGTGACAGTTACTCACTGAAGTCGTTATGGAAAATGTGTTTGCTGATTGGTTTAGCCAGCCCGTTCTCCCTCAGCCAATCCTAAGAGTGCAATTAGAAAGAAAAATGGACTAGCTTATTGGTTTTTGTTGAGTCGGCTAAAGTTAAGAGGAAGGCACTTTTTACTGTAGCACTTAGGGGGTGTCATGAATGTGGGTACTCTCTCAGCCTTTATAGCTCACAGTCCCCTTGGGGGGAAGGGGTTTCATGAACTACTGTGGCTCACAACCACTCATCACTCATTGGATAGCTCTCTGGTGATGAGCCTCTTGAGACCTAGCTAGGCTGATTCTTGGACAGGGAATACATAGCCCATCACTAGGCCTGTCCTGAAGGCCTTTCCTCTATAAAGTCTGCTCAAGTTTTAACTCTGCTGGCATATGTACCCTTGGAGAGCTCAGAGTGACCTTTAGTCCTCAATGAGGAATCAGATTAAACTTGAAAGAGGGGTGTGTGTGTGTGTGTGTGTGTGTGTGTGTGTTGGGGGATGATATCATATTTTATTTTTTTAGAGTTTTTTTTAACACGTAAAAGAAGATCAAGAAATTTGAAAATTCATTAAAGGCAGTGTAAACAGTAATGTTGCTGCTTCTGCAACAAGGGAAACCAGACCTCCTCGTAGGCTTCTGCTACACAGTGTTTGCTAGTATTAAGGGTTCTTGTAATATGACAAAAAGAGCACTGAGCTGGAGGGTAGGAGAATCTTGGTCCTGATCTTGGTTCTAACCTTAAATAAGCATGTGCATCTTAAGTCACCACATCGGTCTGGACTTCAGCTCCGCACATTGCAAAATGAAGAGATGGCAGTAGTCTATCTCACCCCAGCTCAGCCACTACTGTTGCCTTCAGGGCCAGGGTTGGGTGTCTCAAGTCCCAAGCCATTGACAGTCCAGGAAGTTCACTCACGAAAGTGAAGGGGAGGGCAATACACAGAAGATACTCCCAAAGTCCAAGCCAGAATCTTTTGCTGGGGGATTTAATCCATAGAGTATGGAGGAAAAACACAGGTGTGAAGCACCAGGAGAATCCCACTGGGGTTATCTATCAGTGACTACATGGACTGCTCAGTCCATGTGCATGGTTATAGCAACAATCCTTAAACTCAGCCACCTGGTGCCTCTTGGATCAAAGATGTGGCAGGGTTCTAAGTTAGGACTTGGCAGTTTAGGGGAAACCTCTAGAGTCCATCTGTGAAGGTGAAAAGAGAATGACTCCATGGGTATTTGTATTAGTTGTTTGAGGGAGGATCTTGTAAGGTCAAGTGAAGTACTGACCAAGGGAAGCCTTTCTAGGCAATGTGGTGCCATGGAAAGAACCCTGGGAGTCCAAGATTAGATGAACCTCTACTTAAGCCTGGTCTCCATGAACTCCTGAAAAGGAGCAGATGTACCTGGCTACTATCGGCATGCCAGCAGTCAATTTAGTGGCAGTCATGTGCATGTTATTGGGAAGTTAAAATATTATGTATTTTATTTTATGCATTTAAAATATTGTTCTGAGAAAGGGTCCACATTGACTTCCCCAGACTCTGCCAAAGGGGTCCATGACACATAGAACAGTTAAGATCTCCTGGCTAGATGGATGGATAAGAGGGCTTCAACCTGAAAGACCCAGTGGTCATGGAGCATTAGATCCATGGACTTTCCTCTGCCAAAGAATGAATGAAGCATTTATTAATTAATTGCTTATTGTATGCCAAGCACTGTACTGAACTCTGGGGACATGAATGAAAAAATCAAACTAACAGTCCCTGCTCGCAAGGAGCTCATCTTCTAATGAGGGAGACCACCCATCTGGAAGACGTGGCAGGTATCTCGTCAGCTCCAAGATTGCTAGGCACTCTCTCCTTGTCTAGCTAGCCTTGCCAACACTGATGACCCTCAGCTGGTATAGACACCTGCCTTTGTCTGAGCTAACCAACATGATTCATCAGTCACTCAACATCATATGCTTTTCTGTCAAAATACACTGAATATTAATGTATTTGCACTTGAATTTTATTAATTAAAAAAAACAAATGTGTGGCACATGGAAGTGAAGAACCAGGAATAATTGTGGAAAACACAGTCTTTGTCATCTTTCATTCCCCTTTGTTCATTCCCTTCTTCTTTCCGCCTCACTGAACCCAAGCAAACTCAGGTACCCAGCTCTTCTCACTGGATCAGATGTGCAAAGAACACATTGACTTCAATTAATTTAAGAGCTCATGCCTCTCCAGAGTGTTTGCATTTTAAAGGGGGCAGGGCAGGGACAGGGGAAGTAATAGATTCTTAAGGGTCAAGTTTTCTGCCCAATGGCATCTGGATGAAGGAAAGATGGTGGTGGTGGTGGTAGAGATGATAACCCTGAAATTATACCATAGAGATAACTGGCCATCCTGCCCATGATTAAGGGTGGTTTGGGGAATGGGATTGGGGCTGGTAATGGTGTATTAGATGTAAGGACAGTAAGTTGAAGACCTGTCACTCTACCTGGGCCTCTCTTTTGCATTTATCTCACTCTTGCTTGTATCATCATTATTTGTATACGTGAATCCTGTCCACCATTAGATCCTAAGTTCCTTGAAAGAAGAATCAATCTGTCTTTATATCTTGTAATTAATGTCCTCACCCCTTGTGCACAATAGTCATAGATTTAGCCCTAGAAGTAACTTCTGGGGTCATCTAATTCAATCCCCTTTGTTTTGCTTTTGGAGAAACTGGGGCCCCAGGTATTAAGTGGATTGCCTAAGGTCACCAAGGTAGTAAGCAGGAAAGTGGGAATTTGAACCCATGTCTTTGGACTTCAAATCCAGACTAATCTAAATCTCTGACTCCCAACTCTTTCCACCAGGCTTCACTTTCCTTTAATGTTTGTCAAATTGAATGTGGAAAATATAGATATTTTTTTTTTTTAAAGCTATCTAAGATTCATTTTACAGGATTATTTTCTTTTCCTTTCTAGGCTATATTTTTTGAGTGTTGCAGTGAAATAGAAGGTCTGCTTTCAAGAAGTGAATACTTGCCCCTAAAAATTGAGGTAATGTACTTAGGTGAGAAGACCAAACCTCTGCTAAAAATACCAGCTCTATCTCTAGATAAACATCCTCAATGCTGTGGAAACCAAAATGCATCAAACATCTATAGTACAGAATATGAAGAAACTAGACTAATCTTCTTAATTAATCTGACTTAGCAATAGGCATAATTTTTGATTCCAGAAATGTAGAGACTCATGATGCTATACCCATTAATAACCAAACCCATCCTAAATCTAACTTTGGGCAGGCCTAAGACACATGAAAATGGATTGTTATCCAAAGATACACTGTTTATACTTCTGAAATATAGTTTTTATCACAATGCAGTCTATTGCAGCTTTTGCATATGAGTTTATCAGTTCCCTGTTCACTTAGAAACTAATCTCAAACAGAATTTCAGGATTCAAGATGCTTGACAAGTAGACAAAAATTGAGGGGGGGGGAGAGAAGTAAAAAATAGAGAATGAAAATAGGAGCTGTGAAGAGAAGTGAGATAATTTAGCTGTGATGGCAGAATGGAATGTTTCGAATCCCAAAGTTGGGGTATGAGCCCAGTCGAGGATTGGCATGTAAGAAGTAACATGAAGTATATCATTAGGAAATACACGATTGTAGGATCAGAGATCTCGATCTTCTAGAGCTGGAAGGGGCCTTGGAGGGCGAGTCTAACTCTCCATTTTACAGATCGGGAAACTGGCGCCCGGAGAAGTTGAGTGATTGTCTGAGGTCACACACAGGACCCTAGATCTAGAACTGGGAGGGTCTAGTGGTCATTGAGTCCAGCCTCTTCATTTTACAGATGAGGGAGCCGAAGCCCAGGGAGGTGGCAAATTGCCCAGGGCTCCATAGGTAGTATTTCATGGTGTCATAGTAGGCATTATATAAACACTAGTTATCATCATCACCATCATGCCATCACACTTTTATCCTATTGCCTAATTAAGTATGCATTTGATGAGCCATTAAATCAAGAAAGTTACTAAGCCATATTTTGGTCTACATTCATCTCTCGGATACATTCCTTGACCTTTTGTGGAATCTAGCACCGTGCAAGGTCATTTTGTAGTGTTCTGTCTCCATTTTGGGAATCACTCATTCTAAAGCAGTTCTGTTTCTCATTATATCAATATAGTTATCCAGGCTTACCATTCCCTCAATGGGTGTAAGACTTCTGGGCCCATTGAAAGTAAAAAAAAAAAAAACAAAAAAAACTATCCAAACATTTGTTGTTGTCCAGATCTTATGGGTTCACTTTTTCTGACAACAGTTTTGGTATAGCCTTGCATGAAAAATTATGTTTTGTTAGTAAAAAAAAAATTACCTTTTTTCCAATCTTTAATACTTCAATCTTTGTATTGTCGTGCCCACGACAGGCACTTTTTTCTTTGTAGCAGTGGTTAGCTACCGTTTTGGGCTTTTCCCTATTGTTCTCACTTTTTTTTTTCAACCTGAAGAAGCCTATGCTTCACTGTTCACCCAGTTGCTAGGTCCCTCTAATGGTCTTGTTTTCTGAGGATTAATTAGGCTATTTCTTAGTAAAAAATTGTGAGTTCTTGGCATTTTATTTTCAACTTTGACCTCACTTTCTTCATTAAGGAGTCGAGGTTACCCTTGGTTCTCACAGGCTGTGTCTAGCTGTGGAAAGATCATAGGATCGTAGATTGAGACCCGAAAGGAACCTCTAAGGTCATCTGCTCCCACCTCTTCACTTTATATTTGAAGAAACTGAGATCTGCAGAGAAAGTACCTTGCCTAAGGTTATATAGGTAATAAGTTCTATCTGAACCTAGGTCCTTGATTCCAAATGTAGTCTATTATACCATACTGCATCTTTCCTCACAAAAGACAAAATACTTTGTTCTTCACAACTTCCCACTCACAGGCCCATACCGCGACAACCCCTTTACCTACTGGACCTTCCTGGGAAGCCGTCCCCCTGTCCTTGGGCCTCTTCCTGCTTCGTGCATCATCCTGCTCTCTCAGTTCATGGCAGGTCCCCTGTTCTACTCGTTAAGAAAGCAGCCTCCTTTGCACTCCCACCATCGAGGCTCCTTTTGCTGTCTGGGCTGGTGAAGGTGGCTCTTGCCAAGAAGGCAGGACACTGACCACTGCCTGGACTAGGGTTAGTGAGACTCGAGGACTTGGCCAAACTTTCACGAGTATGAAAGCATGAGTGTTGTGTGTGTCTCTGCACTCTAACTGTGTGTGTGCCTGTCTGTAGCATTCTGTATTTCTTTCGCCCCTTTTCCAACGTTCACTCCTAGAGAGGAGGGTACTGCGTTTACCATACTTGCAATATACAATGCTTATCCCCTCGCCAACAACCTGGGGGTCCTCTGTAAATATTATCTGGTGGAGGTGATGGTAATGGATTCTTGAACAGTTATGTCCTTTGTATGTAATATCTTTGGGTGAATGTAAATGGGAAAGCAGGAGGCTGCCTTGATTTCTTTTTTGCATCTGTTAATGGTCCCTTGAATAGGCTGTATAAGAGCCTCATTCTGCCTTTATTCTGTGAGATATAATCCCCCTGTCCGCATGTGAAGAATCTTCTTTGTGTAGAAGTTCATGAAGCACCATTTAATATTCCTCCATTCTTTTGAAGACAATGCTGGATGACATTGGTTCCAGACTGCTTTTAAACAATCCGCTGGCTTTGATCTCGGTCTCTCACTGTTCGTTTCTGTCAAATCTGGCTAAGGTGGGGGGAGCCTTAAGAAAAGGCCAGACTATTAAGGCTGTTTTCAAAATGCTAAGAAAAGACTAAGATATTGAGAGCATTTTCAAAATGTTCGAATCTTCTGAGCTTTGCCGAGCAGCAGGATCAGGGTGAAGGAAGCTCTCACTCATTATGACTTGAAGACCCTCTATGTATTCTGTATTCTCAAGCAGAGAGGTATGTGTGGGGGGTATTCTGCCTACAGTGAGATGGGAGTGGGGAGGGCAGCCAGTGCATAGAGCAGGCAGGGTGTGAGATCAAGGGAAAATGGTAAAAATGACATCATCTCCCTCCTGCCAATGTGTGGCAAAGGGTCATGCCCTATGAAGCCCATGCCTGTCTTCACCCTCTATACAGCTGCCCTTTGGTGGCAGATGGATGAATTCAAGTTTATTTCCATTTTCACAAGGAACTCCATAATGCATAGGGAGTAGGGGTAGGCAAGAAAAGGATTATTCAGCATGTTCATAATTTTTTTTTCTGTTTCAACATCAAACAAGTTATTTGTATGCCTGCCAGATTATGGCCTTTCCAGAGACTATGCCAGTTAATAAATGCAACTATATTCATATTTCTATACCATGAAGTAGGCTCTATTTAATTCGACATAAATTAAGTGTCTGCTGTATACAAGGCACTGTTTGGGCTGGATAATAGGGATATAAAACTAGATAGAAAGAGACCTTGCCCTCAAGGGGCTGGCAATCCAGGGGGGAATGGTGAGAGGGGTACCAAGGAGAAGTCCAGGCAAAGCTTCTTAAGACATTTAAGTAAGGAGAGATCTAGCTGAACAGGATCACAGAATCATAGCTCTAGAGTGGAAAGGCATCTTAGAGACCTGGTCCAGCTCCATAGTTTTCCAGAGAAGAAAACTTGAGTCTAGTGGGGTTAAGTGACATGCCCAAGGTCATACAGGTAGTAGAGGTCTCTTGGACCGATTCCAGATCCAGCGCTTTCCCCTACTATACCATACTGGAGTCTCAGGGAAGGCTTTATAGAAGAGAAGGTACCCACAGAGCCTTAAAAGGAGGAAGAGTTGTTAAGAGATAGGGAGGAGGTGGCTGTCCATTGTGGCGATGCGAGAGCTGGAAGAGGTAGGAAAAGAAGGGACAAAGGATAGTCCAGTTTGGTTAGAATACGGAGTGTAAGAATAGGAGTATTAAGAGGTGAGTAAGGCTGAAGAATGGCCAGGTCCGGATGTTAGGCAGTAGGCAGCCAATTCAAGATTTTTGAGTAGGGTGAGATGCTCAGAGTGGTGAATGCAGAGATGACTTGGGCATTACGATGAATGAATTGGAGAGATGGTAAGATGGAAGCAGCAAGGCAGGCTATTCCAACGGTCAGTCCCGGTGAGAAGAGGAGAGGGAGCTCAGCGACGCCGCTGTGACACCGAGGGAAGAAGAATCGGCAGGATGGGCTGCATGATGGGCGTGAAGGAGAGGGAAGAGTCCACGATGACCGGGATGGTGCCGCGTGGGTGACAGGATGACTGCATCGATAGGCATGGAGAAGTCAAGGAGTGGGGCTCAACGGGCGAGGGAGGAGACGATGACCCTGCATTCTTGTTCATGGTTTTCTCCTGTCTTTTTTGTCACCTCATTCTCCTGTCCCTTAACCGTAGGTATCCTTCCCAAGGTTCTGTCTTTGGCCCTCTTCTGGATTTACAGTCTCTCCTTTTGGACTTGACTTCAAAAGCAGTGGATAGAACACTGGGCCTGGAGTCAGGAAGACTCTTCTTCCTGAGTTCAAATCCAGCCTTAGACACTTGCTAGCTGTGTGAACCTGGGCAAGTCACTTCACCCTGCTTGCCCAGTTTCCTCATCTGTAAAATGAGCTGGAGAAGGAAATGGTAAACCACTCCTGAATCTTTGCCAAGACGATCCCAAATGGGGTCACAGAGAGTTAGATATAACTGAAAATGGTCACAGAGGGTGTGGTAAGTTTTGGGGGTAGGATTTGAACTCAGGGGTTCCTGACTCTGAATCCAGCACTCAATTCACCATACCACATAGTTACCTAGTACTGAAGGCCTGATATTTCCATTTGAAAATCCCTCTGTTTAAGACATTGAGCTGAGTGGACACTTGATGTTTGGGATTGTGCTATAAAGAGCGAGAGAAATCCAACCTCCATTCCAACCAGTCTCGTAGCCTTATGAACTCTATTTCCACAAAACATTCTGACATTTTTCCTCTTCTTTCCAGTCACATGACCGCCACTCTAATCCAGGCCCTCCACCCTATTACAATCAGTCTTCTCTGTACCTCTCTCCAATCCATC